TTTATTTAGATTTACCCACATATTTATTGTTGTTGAAGATAGTATTTTTATTTGGGATTATTTTTCCTTCTGGAAGGAGGCCCTTTAATATTTTCTTTAGTACAAGTCTGCTGTGACAATTCCATTTTTTTTGGGCTGAAAATGTTTTGCACTCATTGATAACCTTACTCATTGTTGGGTCTCCAGCACCCAGCACAAAGTGCCTTGAACATAAGGAAATGAGTAGTTTGAACCCTTGATTGATTTATAATCAGCAGGAGTCACTTACGGGAGAGAACCAGACCTCTGACTTTTTTTTCCCTTTAGTTTCTCTGAAAACTCAGCAAGATATGGGTACTTAATACATAATGTGAATGAAGTTAAAATTATATTGACTTCTGAATGAGATTCTCGTCTGGCTACTTTAGAGAGTTTAGGATAGATGCTCTAGTTGTTTACCAAAACGTGCTAGACTTTCTATTGCTATTCTTTTTCCAAGGAAAGAGTTTGTACTTTTTAAGAAAAAATTTAACTAAATGTAATCATAATGTGATCATTTTAAATGATTATTTGTTATCACATCTATTAAACAGATTTGCTAAGCCCATACTTTCTTTGCAACGTTTGAAAATGCTGCTTACTTACATTTTATGCCTAAATCATGAACTTACCCATGATCCTAATTTACTGTATGTAGAAATGACATAGCAGAATAATCCAAATAGATACTCAGTTTCAAAACTGTGGTCTCGCATCTGTGGGTTTGTTTTGATGTCCTGGTGACCTTTACGTGGGAGGATATTTCATTGCACTATTACAACAGTAGTTACTGTTGGCATTGCTATCTCCTTAATGTAGTGAGATCTTCGGGATATTTGTTTGTGTACCTCCTCATGAACCTTGTGTTTAGTCACTGAAACCAGATTTACAGAAGTGTAGAGCACATTCCTTTGTTATCCCTGTTTGCTGTTTTCTCCTTTCCTTTCCCTCTCAGATTTTAATTTCCAGGCCCTCTGTGAGCTCTCCCCGCCTTTTATTTGGGTGTGAAATGTGACCATCAGGGATAGGGAAAAGGAGATATCACAGTGAACTGTTAAAGAAGTCTAAGAGTTAGCATGTGTCAGTTATTTGAGTTAAAGTCTTTTATAAGTGTTGCAATTTTAAAGTGAAAAAAACCTGTTCACTATTATTGTTAATCCCTGGAAATTCCTACATTTTTACCCTTAGTCCCCCAGATATTTGATATATCCTAGATCTTTAATATTTAAATCCCTATTATTTTATTTCAAAGTAATCTATGATATTACCTCTCAAACTACACAAAGAATACACTGTCATTTTAGAGTTCTTTACCTCCCCTGAGCACTCTCACAGTAAATGTACTTTCCAGTAAGGTTAGTGTCAGAATGGGTCACTAAAATATTTGCTCTCTTGGAATAAGCCCATGCCTCACTGCTGCTTCTGTAGGCTGTGTCTTGTGAAGAGAAGCGTCTTCTCATGGGTACAACACAAAGTTGTTGGAGACAGAACTGTTGTCCGCTCTGCAAGGCATGGATTGCATTGTTTTACAAAATGTTTTTTTATTTTTTTGGTATCATTCATGCTAACTAAAGAATGAATTTAGGCGCAGAAGTGTCTGGCCCCCTTTGCTTCCTTGAAAGGGAAATTGGAAGTGTACCATTAACTCATTTCTCAGCTGTCTCATTTCGTGTTTGAGGAATACGAGTTGGGATGCCAGCCTTCACAGTAGCAGTCAGAGGAGTGGTCACTGGCGCTAAGGCCTGCACTTCAGCCATAGAGGAATTCACCTTTCAGTGTCTTCCAAGGCCCATGAGGATGCACGCTTATTTATCCAGAGAGTGTGCATCTCACTAATGTTTGTGCAGAGGTGTGGCTGTGGAAGAGCATTTACTGGTAAGTATCAAGCTCCTACTGAATTATGTTTGTGAAGTATGTTTAGAAATCCATTGATTTGTAGCAGTGATAAAATCTCTTAGTCTGTGCTGGTTTCTTAACAGTGGACAGTCCCAGAGGCTGAAGTCAGCACAAGAAGAGAAAAAGCCAAATCCTGATAAGACTTGAGGATTTTTCGAAAATTAGATGCAAAATAGTTGGGGCAGATGTCGCTGCGGGAGTCAAGGCTAAGTATCACAGGAAGAAGATATGACACTGGAGAGCTTCTCGTGTTCTTCTTTTGCATAAAGCTTGCATATGTTCAAAGCCCAGGACCTTAATGCCATTGAGCGGGGCTTAATTACAGCTCTTGGAACGTAAACCGCAGACCCACGTGAACTGGAGTGTACATTGTGGCCCTCAGAATTTCTTATTTCTTTGCAAAGTCCTTTCTGTTTCTAAATAAAAGCTGTGTTCTCTGAAACCTGGGAGTGATGTATATTGGCCACGTCGAATCTTTCAAAAGCATTTTCCAGCTCCAGTATCGTTAGTGTGGAACAAATGTGTTTTGGGAATGGTGTGTGGGAGGGGTTGATCTAAGAGACCAATCGCGGCCTCCACTTTCTGTCTTAATGCTCCTTCTCTTTTTCTCTCAGCCATGACCTCAAGATATGTCATTGTCTGTTGGCTGAAAAACCTTGTAAAATAACAGTTGTGCCTGTGATACAAAAGATTAGGACAAAGCCAAACCAAACCTCCAGCTTTGTATGTAATAGGCTTTCCAGGAGTTAAGCCTAACACAGAAACATGTGCCACAGCCAGGGCACGTGGCCGGATCTCCCACACGGCCACGTGCAGGGTGAATGGCTGTCCAGATTCCGTGAGGGAGAGTCCAGGGCCTTGCAGGGCTTTGACTGTGCAGGCCAGGGTTAAGTCTTGGGGTTATGAGCTGGTTACGAGCTCGCTGGCCTTCAGGGAACTCTGTCACTGCTCTGAGTCTGTTTCTCCTGCTGTGGGGGGTACTGCGTCACTTCCCAGCGTGATGACAGACAGTGGCATCACTGTGCTGAATCAAAGCGCCTGGAGTTTGCTGCAGGTCACGGTTACGGACATGCTGGGGTAGAAGAAGGCGGGACCATCTCCCTGTGGATGTGATGGAGAGAGGGTTGAGGTTGCTTTTCTATCTGATCCTTGATTCCCTTCTGTCTAATTCTTCAGGACCCACCTCCAGGTATCTTGAAACACATTTTAGATTGTGTGGAAATGTGCGTGAAGGGAGAGAGCATCAAAAGCAGGAACTTAGGTGGAAGGGGGAGAGTCACCCGGTGGCTGCCTCCCCGAGTGCCTGCCCTGAACGTGTGCCAGGAGGCCAGGACAGCCGTTCCTGCAGTCGGGAAGCTCAGATCCGGTCCTGGAGACGGACTGAACGAATGACTGGGCTGTGCGCTGGTGACGGTGATGAGCCAACCTAAAGAGGGGTGGCGGGAGCTAGGATCAGGAGTGAGTCCCCGTTTAGAACGGAGCCATCAGGGAAGCGCTCATTGAAAAGGTGGTGATCTTTGTGTAGAGGTGAGAAAGAGGTCAGGGAGCCAGCCCTGTGGAAGAATGGGGAAAGATGGGCTTGAAAACCAGTCGGTAAGAACTTAGAAGGACTTGACTTTGCCTTTGAGATGGAAAGCCAGTGGAGGTTCTGAGCTGAAAAGTGACATGATCTGGCTTTCTGTAAGAATCCTTTGATGGCTGTATAGTGAATAGATGGTAGAGGCAATGGCAGAACCAAGGACCAGCTGTTGGAATGCTGCCAGCTGAGATGATGGTGACTAGGAGCAAGATGGCAGCAGCGGAGGTGCCCAGTGGCCAGATTCTGGATCCGTGTTGAAGGTAGCTCCTTCAGGATTTGCTGATCTTATGACGGTGGTAAGTAAGGGCTTGCGAGGGGTTAAGGGTGACTCCAGAGGTTAGGCTGAGCAGCCGGAAGAGCAGAGCTGCCACTTAACTCATTTCTTGAGGGGAGGAAGACTGGAGAAGCAACAGGTTTGTGAAGAGCTAGTCAGGTTGTGAATGCGATGGAATTCCTACTAGGTGGCCCTAGGGCTGTGAAGAGAGGAGACAGTGGATTGCAGGGGTCCTTGTTTAAATGCCCATTTGCACAGCAAGTTGGTAAGTCATTCAAGTTCTGTTTGAATCATTTAAATCTCTATGAAGATGGTGCCGTAACCACGTTTTATACATTGCACTAGGAAATAATGCAGAAAGATTAGTTTTCCTAGGATATGAAACTCAGTTTTATGATTATGAGTTCCATGTTTTTCTGCTAATTTTACCATATTGCTTATAAAATAGGCATACAAGGAAAATTCCAGTGACTTCCACAGTTGAAAAAAATGCCTTATGCTGCCTTTATACTACCCATATATGCATGTGTGTGCGTGCACACACACACACACACTCTTCCAGAGAAGATTAGGCAGTATCTTTGATGAGGTTTATAAAGATAGCTTTTTGACTGGTGAAAACTAATATTCTGCTGCAGTCTTTAATTTTGAATATGCATTTTCAAAATTCTTTAATGATAAATAGAGATGGCATTAATAAAATTAATTTTAAATAAAATTCATATATTTAAAAAGAGTTTACTTTTTAGTAATTTGCATCCTGAGCAGTTATTTAAAGGGGAAAATAGGTTTTCACACTCCTAAGCCCATCCCTTTTTATAGTAGAGTACATAATGTTTATTTTTTGAAGCAGAAATACAAGTAATGAAAACACATGTGATTGAGTTTTGACATTATTACTCTAGGTAGGATGACAAATTGTACAGTGCCAATAGCAAAATAGAAATTGAGATCTGTTAAAACTGTTTGTTGTTTATAGGCTTATGTACTGCTTATGGTTTTTATTCAGTAAAGCAACAGAATGGTGTTTATAAATTTTAATTTGAATTTTATGTGATGTGATGAGTGAAATGATCAGGAGCAGATTAACGCAGTTCTCTTAAGAAGAAGAAGTACGTGTGTTTAAAGCTCATATGTAGTGATTTTGTAGACTGTGTTTCTGTAACCATGGATTTAAGCCTTACGATGTCTGTTCTCTTGGCTGTGTAACTAGCAAACTCTCTGATCACACAGGAAGTGCTCCACGTTGCGGGAGTGGAAATGCAGCTAGCGGCTGCCGTGTCATTTCTGACCATTCTGCAGGAAGAATCAGTGTCAGTTCATGCGTACGCCCACTCTTTCCTGCAAGTCATCCTGCTGCATCTGGAGCACAGGGACACAGGTCAGGGCCTGGCGTGCTTCCTTCTGCGTTGGGTCGTGGTCCTGGGGAGGTGCGTGGGGCTGCTTGCGTCCTGTTGGTCTGAAGGTAGCCGAGTGAGACCGTGCTGACAACGCTCGGAAGGCTTCAGATAGTCATGCTGTCTCCTTTACAAAAAAAAAAAAAACACAACTCAGTGTCTGTAAAGGCTGAAGTTTAGCTTATGACTATGTCCTTAGAATTTTTTCTGTTTTCCCACTTGTGGTTCTAGTATTATTATACAGTTAGAAAGCTTAACTTAAAGATACCCCTGATATTTTTAAAAACATAAAATTTTCTAGGTGTTAGCTAAAACAAAAAGCAGAAAATCTTCTTAGAATAATAATACAAATCATTGTTCTCATTTTGTCATTAAATGTTATTGTGACTATCAGTGACTGGTTTGAACCTGAATTTGTGAGATTTAATTGAGCATGTTATATTTTTGCCAATCAGGTGTCAGCAATGCGTGGCTGGAAACCCTTCTGTCTATGATAGAAGTATTGCCAAAAGAAACCCTCAGGCATGAGGTAACGTCTACCCCCTCCTACCCCCACCCCACCAATAAGTAAATCTATGGATTTTTTTTTGTCAAAATTCTTTTTATAAAAGTACTGCTCAATATCACAAGCTTTTAGGGAATACATTAATGAAAACCACTATGAGATATTGCCTCATTACAGTTAGAATGGCAACACTTACATACTACTGGTGGGGATGCAAATGAGTCCGTCCATATGAAGAAAAATGTGGAGGTTCCTCATAAAACTCCAAGTAGATCTAGGATGTGGCCCAGCTGTCCGGCGTCTGGGTACATGTCCCGAGGAAGTGAAGCCAGCATATCAAAGCTACACCTGCCTGACCTCCCTTGCTTAGTGCAACACTGTTCCTGGTAGCCAAGTCATGGACTCAACCCAGCTATCCATCAGTAGATGAACGCAAGAAAGGAATGTGGTGGCCGGTGCCGTGGCTCAATAGGCCAATCCTCCGCCTGTGGTGCCGGCACACCGGGTTCTAGTCCCGGTCGGGGCGCCGGATTCTGTCCCGGTTGCTCCTCTTCCAGTCCAGCTCTCTGCTGTGGCCTGGGAGGGCAGTGGAGGATGGCCCAAGTGCTTGGGCCCTGCACCCGCATGGGAGACCAGGAGGAAGGAAGCACCTGGCTCCCGGCTTCAGATCAGCGTGGTGTGCTGGCCATAGCGGCTATTTGGGGGATGAACCAATGGAAGGAAGCCCTTTCTCTCTCTCTCACTGTCCACTCTGCCTGTCAGAAAAAGAAAAAAAGAAGGGAATGTGGTAAAATACACAATTGAGTATGATTCAGCCATAAACAGCATGAAATCCTGACATTTGTAGCAAAATGCGTGGAGGTCATTACGTTTTGTAAATAGGCCAGACACATCCAGGCAAGTACTGCATGTACTCTCACGTGGAAGTTTGAAAAAAAGGTCACCTGAACTTAGAACAGCGATTACTAGAGAGTGGGACGGGAAGGGTGAGTCGGGGAGGGTCAGATAGAAGTAGTGACTCCAGTGTGCCACAGCATGGCGGGTAGCCATAGCTCACAGCACTGTGTTAGGCTCTGTATGAAGACCGGAAGAGAGGATCTGGTAGCTCCAAACACCAAGGGAGGATGAGAAAAATGGGAAAGCAGGTTGCCTGGTTGGATCGTTTTATGCTGTGTGCATGTGTTGAAATATTGCACTGTACCCCATAAAAACCTACAAGTATATGTTAATGATTTTTTAAAGTTTTTTAAAATAAAGGAATAAAGTGTTTTCCATTCTGAAAGCAATGCATGCTCCTTGTGGAAAATTTGAGTAATATAGAAAATGGAAAGAAGAACAATAATTTATAGTGTTAATGCACTTGTCCTCTTGATTCTGATATGTAGCCCTTCAGGGTTTCCTTATACGTGGTGGCTGCTCGCCAGATTAGTGATCATATTTGAATTTACATTTGGTTGTTTTTCACTGGGCATAGTTTTCCTGTATTCTTCTAAACTCATTTTTTAGTAGATGTAAAATATTTTGCTTGTTAAACATTCAAGCCTGTTTTCAGGTTGAAATCTTGCTGTAAAACTAAGACACTAATGAACTCTATAGAACTTTTCCTGTTTTTCAGGAAATTTCTTTATCTGTAACATCCCTAAAAAATGGAATTACTTGGGGCCGGCACTGTGGCTCACTTGGTTAATCCTCAGCCTGGGGCACAGGCCCAGGTTCTAGTCCGTTACTCCTCTTCCTGTCCAGCTCTCTGCTGTGGCCTGGAAGGGCAGTGGAGGATGGCCCAGGTGCTTGGGCCCCTGTACCCGTGTGGGAAACCAGGAGGAGGCACCTGTCTTTTAGCTCTGGCCGTTGTGGCCATTGGAGGGGTGAACCATCGGATGGAAGACCTTTCTCTCTGTCTCTCTCTCTCACTGTCTGTAACTCTACTTGTCAAATAAATAAATAAAAAATATTTTTAAAAAAATGGAATTACTGAGTCAGAGAGCGTTGATGTTCTTGAGGTCTTGACTAAGAATATGTGAAAATGTTGTTTCTCTTTTCTTAGCAACAGTGTTCCAATTAAATTTTAATGGGCCACAGATGAAGTTGCATTTTAATGGGAATTTTGAAATTATTATGCTTTAGAATATTTTCCCATGTATTTATATCAGTTCTACTTACTCCTTTGGAATTGTCTGGTCCTTTCTTTTATACACTATTTATTTGTCACTTATCCCTTAAAGTTGTCAATCCTTTGTTATCCTTGCAAAAATATCTTTCTAATTTGTTGTTTGTCTTTTGATTTTTAACATTTTTTAGTATATCCTTCTTTAAAAATTATAGGTAAAGGCCGGCGCCGTGGCTCACTAGGCTAATCCTCCACCTGCGGCACCAGCACACCGGGTTCTAGTCCCGGTCAGGGCGCCGGATTCTGTCCCGGTTGCCCCTCTTCCAGTCCAGCTCTCTGCTGTGGCCCGGGAGGGCAGTGGAGGATGGCCCAAGTGCTTGGGCCCTGCACCCCATGGGAGACCAGGAGAAGCACCTGGCTCCTGGCTTCGGATCAGTCCGGTGTGCCAGCTGCAGCGCGCTGGCCGCGGTGGCCATTGGAGGGTGAACCAACGGCAAAGGAGACCTTTCTCTCTGTCTCTCTCTCTCACTGTCCACTCTGCCTGTCCAAAAAAAAAAAAAAAATTGTACATAAACTGTGATGAGAGAATAGGAAAAATGGAAAGGAAATTTATCCTTTAATGAAACACTTTTCAGTCTTTGAATATTATCCTATATATATGTGTATATATATATATATTTATTTTTAAATATGTCATGGTTGAAAAAATAGTCATCAGTCAGTACAGTGTCCTCAGCTGAGTAAAAGCCTTTCTTTGCCCTTATGCAGTTTACAGTTTTAGCCCAATGCCAAGATGCTTGCTTGAAAATTTGTATAGCTGTGAGAATGTTTGTGTATTTGATGCCAAGTACTTAGATGTTTACACAGATTTAATGTTGAGTATAATGTAGACATACTATTTATATTTTTGAAAAATGCAGTAGAACACAGTTTTTACTCTAGAATGCTATATTTTACTTAATGTGATTTTTTAGATTTTGAATATATGTTTTCATTTATTCAAATCTTTTACCTTTAAATTTTATTTGTTGCAGCTAGTGTTGTGGTGCAGTTATGATGATCCAAGTACTTGGGTTTCTGCCATCCACGTGGGAGGCACTGATGAAGGTCCTGGCTCCTGACTTTGTTCTGGCCCGGCCCTGGCCATTGCATCCATCTGAGGAGTGAACCAGCAGATAGGATCTTCCTCTCTGTCTCTGTTTGTCACTCTGCCTTTCAAATAAGTAAATAAATAAATCTTTAAATAATCATATTTGTCATGATGCATCCAGTAGTTTCAGCTACCTTTTGTTGATAGGAAACAAACTAGTTTGCTTTTAAAGTAGTAGAATTTTAGAACGTGAAGGGACCTCAGTATGAAATATTCTAATTTCTATGGTAAGGAGCTAAAAAACCTGGCAATGAGAAATAGCAAGGTTGCTTAGGTGGACGAAAGAGGTAGGACTAAAGCCGGCGCCGCGGCTCACTAGGCTAATCCTCCGCCGTGCGGCACCAGCACACCGGGTTCTAGTCCCGGTCGGGGCACCGGATTCTGTCCTGGTTGCCCCTCTTCCAGGCCAGCTCTCTGCTGTGGCCCGGGAGTGCAGTGGAGGATGGCCCAAGTGCTTGGGCCCTGCACCCTATGGGAGACCAGGATAAGTACCTGGCTCCTGCCATCGGATTGGTGTGGTGTGCTGGCCGCAGTGCGCCGGCCGCGGTGGCCATTGGTGGGTGAACCAATGGCAAAAGGAAGTCACTGTCCACTCTGCCTATCAAAAAAAAAAAAAAAAAAAAAAGAGGTAGGACTAGAGTCATGGTCTGATCTTCATCGCTCTTCAGTCTTTCAGTGCTGTTGTGTTTTTGAGTGCCTTCCATACAAATGATACAATATCAGACTCAGGTTGTTGTTTTCAAATGTCAATATTTTACCCAATGTAATTTGCTTTTAGCTATAATGTTTTCCATCCCATTAGGAAAAATATAAACATTTATATGGAATAAAAAACAACTTCCAGAGTATCTAGTTGTTAATTTGCTTTTCATTTTTGAAAATGTATATTTCAAAATTAAGTGCATACAGACCATTGCAGAATTCATCATAAGTTTTTCTTCAATTTTTTAAAAAGAATTTATTTATTTGAAAGTCAAAGTGACAGGGGTGGGAGACACACACACACACACACATACATACACATACACATACACACAGATTGAGAAAGAGAGAGAAACAGAGATCTTCCACTGGTTCGCTCCTCAGATGCCTGCTACAGCCAGGGCTGGGCCAGACCAAAGCCAGGGTTCAGGCTTCTCATGTGGATGGCAGGAAACCAAGCACTTGAGCCATCAGCTGCTGATTCCTCCCGCCTGCATTAATAGGAAGCAGGATCAGAAGCAGAGAGGCCAGGACTTGAACTAGGTGCTCCCACATGGGATGTGCGTGTCCCAGGCAGGTTTTTTTTTTTTTAATAAATTTATTTATTTATTTGAGGGGCAGAGTTACAGAGAGAGAGAGAGAGAGAGAGAGAGAGAGGGAGAGACAGAGAGACAAGTCTTCCATCCCTGGTTCACTCCTCAATTGTCCACAACTGCTGGAGCTGGGCCCATCTGAAGCCAGGAGCCAGGAACTTCTTCCGGGTCCCCCAAGCAGGTGTAGGGGCCAAGCACTTGGGCCACCTTCTGCCGCTTTCCCAGGCCACAGCAGAGAGCTGGATTGGAAGGAACAGCTGGGACTAGAACCAGCGCCCACAAGGAGGCTTAGCCCACTACGCCGCAGTGCTGGCCCCTGTAAGCAGTGGTTTAGCCTACTGTACCACAACATTCGCCCCTACTTCATCTTTTTGTTCCTGTTTGTCTTGAATTCCTAATATATCAACATCTTGACCTTAATAATCCAGAAGACTAAACAAAGTGATCCAGGTCACGAATATCCACGCGCCTGAAATTGTAATTCAGGCTCTTTAAAAGCATTTGGAGCATTAAAATATTCCTGGAAAGAAATAGCTGACATTTATGGCAAGAATGTGTAAAATTTTGTAACTTGTTCTCTGATTGTTTTCTCTTTAGATTTTGAATCCACTGGTTTCCAAGGCACAACTTTCTCAACAGTCCCAGTCTCGTTTAGTTAGTTGTAAAATTTTAGGAAAATTGACCAACAAATTTGATGCCCACACGTGAGTATTTGTATATGGTTTTTGGTCTATTTCCTATTTTTAAATATATAATTACTGTGTAATTAACAATTGGATTTGCATTAATCCATGCTGCACACGAGTTTAGCTATTTTAACTTTATGGAATTCTCAGATAGAAGTTAACTTATCAAGATGCATTTCTTCTCAGCCTCATGGCTTTTCAGCATTAATAAGGTTATATTTTTTTACTTCCCATCTTAGTTTTCTCCATCCCCACCCAGTGTACTTTTACAGATAAACTAGGATTATCTTATAGACTTTCCAAATTGATAAAAATGGCATGAAGGTAGAATTCCTTCTTTATATTATTGTTATAAGTTCATTATTTTGAATCACTTATCTTTTTGAGGTTTTATGGAGCATGTTTAAAATGTATATGCTACTCTCAGGTGGTTAATATCAAATGGTGTTAATAGAATATTGTGTTTTACAAGAGTAAAGTATGTAATTGAAGATATGTTGGTTGATAGTTGCTGGTATCAAATATTCCACCGTGATAGCCTTTCATTTTAGTTACAGATTTAACGACCAATCCAAAATTAACCATTGTTTTTAAAAGATCTGTCAAGTACATGGTTTACAAGTGGATGATGATAGCTTCCAAATTAAGTAACGTAGGTAAAATACATTGTAACCTTTCTCTCTGTCTCTCTCTGTCTCTGTCTCTCTCTTCCTCTCTCTTTCTCACTGTCTAACTCTATCTGTCAAATAAAATACATTGTAAGCTATAAAGCTTTGGTAAAGCATATTTGTCATTATTATTAAGCTAAGTTAAGGTTTTGATGTGATTTAAAACACTGATTTGCATGTTTCTTTTCTCCCTTCCCTCAGCATTAAAAGAGAAATCCTTCCCCTGGTAAAATCACTCTGTCAAGATGTAGAATACGAAGTTCGATCTTGTATGTGTAGACAATTAGAAAACATAGCTCAGGGCATTGGGTAAGTATACTTTCAATTCCTTACACCATCGCCTTATTTGCAGATTATCGAACAAGCATGTCCTGTTTCTGTGTTTCAAAAGAAGTGAAAATGTGTTCACACGCACAGCTTGATTATGCACAAGGTCTGTGGCAGCTTCATTGGTGAGAGCCACACCTGGGACAGTCCAGATGTCTGTCAGCCTGTGAATGGGTAAACAGTGGGCTGTCTCCCTTAGGTGGAATACCATCCAATAGTGAAAAGGAATGAGGTACTGATACACGCCATGGACCTCTGGGTGCATCTCAGAGTCAGTATGGTAGAGAGATGAGTCAGACACAAGGGAGGCCATTTGCCAGAGGACACACGCAAGCTGGCATGTAGTGACAAGAAGCAGATCTGTGGTTGCCCTTGTCAGAGCAGGCTGTGGAGCGTGCTGGGGCGACAGCGATGCTGGGTCTGCATTGTGGGGGTGTTGTCCCAGACACTTGACAACTGCCAGAACCCATCCGTGCATGTGCACTTTCTTCTTTCTTTTTCCTTCTTGTTTTAATTCGAAAGGCAGAGAGGTAGAGAGAAAGAGAAGGATGAGAGAGATCTTTCATCTATCGGTTTACTTTCCAGATGCCTCTGATGGCCAGGAGACTGGGACTCAGTCTAGGTCCCCATGTGGGTGTTAGGGACCCAAGTTCTTAGACATCATCTGCTGCCTCCCAGTGTGTACAGTAACAGGAGGCTGAATAGAAGTCGAGTAGTTGGGACTTAAGCCAGATATTCCAATATGGAGCACAGGCATCCCAAGTGGGGACTTAGCTACTGCCCCAAATGCCCGCCCCAATAAGTGTGTGCTTGAGTACTACTACATGTGACTTATTTACCTATAATAAAATTGTATTTAATTTTAGCAGTAATAAAATTGTCTTTAATACAATTTAAATGGCCTTTAAATTGTTCTTCAGTATAACTATAATGATCAAGCAAATAAAAAAGTAAAAATTATTCTAACAGAAAATGAATAAAGCATCTTTCTGTTTTCAACAAAATTCTAGAAGACCTCCCTGCCATAAAATTAGATTGAAAATTTGGTGATGAGACATGCTGAGATGAAAAGTTTTAAGGACGAAGAAAATTTAAAACTTAGTTAAAATTAAAATGTAATTACAGGAAATTAAAAATGGAATAGAAAAATTCAAGCAAGTTTAGTGAACAGTGAAGTGTTGGTTAGAAACTGTAGGCTTTCACTGACTTAGTAGACGAATCAGCCCCTCAGAATTCAGAAGAAAAATACACACGTATGAAATTGTTTAGAGACAAGATATCATCTATGTAATAAAGAGTAGAATGGCCTAGCACCTGAGTGTAAACAGCTGATATTCATGAGAAAACTCTCACATCATATAACAAAGCTGCTATAATGAGACAACACAGGGAAAAGCTTCCTTCACGGCTTGAGGCTGAAGATTGAAGGATTTATTTATTTATTTGAAAGAGTTCCAGAAAGAGGTAGAGTCAGAGAGAGAAAGAGAGAGAAGTCTTCCATCTGCTGGTTCACGCCCTAGATGACTGCAACGGCCAGAGTGAGCTGATCCAAAGCTAGGAGCCAGGAACTTCTTCCAGGTCTCCCACGTGGGTGCAGGGGCCCAAGCACTTGGGCCATCCTCCACTGCTTTCCCAGGTCACAGCAGAGAGCTGGACTGGAAGGGGGGCAGCCAGGACTTAAACCTGTGCCCATATGGATGCTGGCGCTCCAGGCTGGGGGCTTTAACCCACTGTGCCATGGTGCCAGCCCCAGAGATTAAAGGATTTTATCAATTATCAGACCAAAATTATAGAAGTTAATATCTTTAGATTTATGTTGATATTTTTCAACTCGTGCTCAGCAGCCATATTTGGCTACCCTGTTGGACAGTATGCACAGAATGTAAACATTCCCATCATTGCAGAAGGTTCTGCCGGGCTGCATTGTCTTACAGTCTTTTAGCTTAGTTCTGAACTTAGGTTTTCTGCAGCTCTTACTGACTCTTTTTGGACTCTATCAACATCTTATATCATCTTCCATCATGTACCCAAGAAGGCAGGCCACATCATTATAAACTTCCCCTTAATCAAACTGTGTCATTATAATGGCATCTCTTTAAAAAATTACTTCTTCATTATTTGAGAGAGAGAGAGAAAAAAGAGAGAGATCTTTCATTTGTTGTATTACCAAATGGCTGCAGCAGCCCAGGCAGGCCCAGTTTGAAACCAGGTGCCCATGACCCAATTCCAGTCTCCCACGTGGGTGTCAGAGGCCCAGGTCCTTGAGCCATCACCTGCCGCTGCCCGTGGTTTGCATTAACAGGAAGCTGGAGTCAGAAGCAGAGTTGGGACTTGAACCAGGCACTCCATCATGAGACGTGATCTCCCCAAGTGGCATCTTAACCCCTGCACCAGATGCCTGCCTGTAACACCTTAAGCAGAAGCAAATTAGAGTGTTGTGGAAGAACTATTTGTGATTATGTGTGTGTGCATATATTTATATATTCTTTTAAAGCATTTTCCAACATTAGCAGATGCATAAAAGTTGTACATGTTTATGGGGTACCGTATGCTGTTTTGAATCATGTATACATTGTATAATTTCTTTTTTTTAAAGATTTATTTTATTTATTTGAAAGACAGAGTTACAGAGAGAGGTAGAGACAGAGAGAGAGGTCTTCCATCTGCTGGTTCACTCCCCAACTGGCCTCAATGGCCGAAGCTGTGCCAATCCGAAGCCAGAAGCTAGGAGCTTCTTCTGGGTCTGGGTGGATAAGAAGAAAAGCAGCCGGGTGGATAGGAAGAAGAACCGGTGCCCATATGGGATGCTGGCACTTTAGGCCAGGGCTTTAACCCGCTGCGCCACAGCGCCGGCCACCATTGTATAATTTTTAATCAGGACAAATATACCTATTTCTTCAAACATTTAACATTTCCTTATGGTGAAAACATTCAAAATTCTATCTTCTGGCTTGCTTTTTAGCATTTTTATTTTATGTTTCATTTTTTAGGTGGAACATCTAGTGTCATATATCATTCTTCTATATAGAAATCACTTATTGATAATATGTTTTTGGCGAATGGGAAAATAATTTATGCCCTGGAATCTAGATAGAGAGATTTTATTTGGGTTTCTACAGTTAATACTGTTTTTTTCTAATTAGTCCAGATCATTTGCTGATGTTGTTTAAAATTGAAAACTATATGACGATTTATAGTTTCTGGAGGCAGCCATTTTGTGCTGGGAGGGATGGAATCAATTCCAGTAAATATGAACGCACTGTGCTTGCTTTTTGTGTTGATGGCATGCGTTCCCAGTCAGACAAGCACCTGGCGAGCTGGAACCGTTACCTTTATGATTTTTCACTGTTTCTGCAGCACCTAGCCCGGTTACTTGATTTTAGCAAGTTTTTGCTTGAAATTTATTGATTTGATTTATTTTCTCCTATTGCTTATTGTGCAGGACAGAACTGACAAAAAGTGTAGTGCTCCCTGAATTAATAGAACTCTCTAGGGAACGAAGGCAGCAGCGTGCGACTTGCAGCTTTGAAACTTTGGTCAACCTGCTTGACGTATTCGACACAGGTAAGTCTTCAGGTGGACACAGCATTGCTTCGTCGAGCAGTGCTGCTCCATGGATGTGGTATCACTCAAGCAGAAATTTTGTGTGCTGTTGATGCTGAATGTTAAGCATCCCTTCCTCTGTCTTCATGATTCTTTCCTTTGGTGTCTTCTCTGTTTCCACTGTTACCCTCCTGGTTTCAGTGTTGCCACATCTTTCATCCTCTCTCTCTTTTCCCATCAAAATGCAACCTACTTGTGTTTAGGGCTGAGAATTTGGGGTGAGAATTACCTTTAACTTTCTCAGCTGTTTGACATACGGAAGCTTTGAGTACAAACAATGTCGAAAGGAGTTTCCTCTCCTAAATAATACTTTTAGTGCCAGAAATCTCATGTCCACTGGGGAATCGGGGATGGGGTCTTTGCTTGGGGATGAGGAGAGCAGCATTTCTTAGTGTTAGGCAACCAGGTCTCTAACCGCTCCACTCGGCGTGTGACTGGGCTCTTGACTGAAGCTGGCCGTTGGTCACTCAGGATCATGCACCTGTCTATAGGGTGAAGTGAGGAGGGGCAAATGTCAAGTACTTAAGGCGAAAATATTGTGTAAATCTAGGATTACATTTCTGTTTACTTGATTATTAATATTTTAATTTAATAATAAATTTGCCCCTAAAGATAATTTTAATGTAGACAGTAGTTATGTATGGTTGTTGCAGAATAAGCATGTAAGCGCCACGAGGAAGCAGAGGAGTAAAAATTGCAGACAGGCTAAAAGGAGGAATGAGTCCATTGTCCCTCATAATGGGGAACCCTCAGGCTCCAAAGCAGACCAAAGGCACTACCTTGGTCCTTTCCCATCATTGCCACAGGGATTTGGGCTCAACCCAAAAGCAAAACCTTTGCAGACTGCTGCCTTATACCAACTATTAGAGCAGTGCTAACGTCACCTTTTATTTTACTGTTGGGCTTCTTGGCGGATTTGAGTTTCTCAAGTTCAGAAACTGTTTATTATCCATCTTTTCACTCCCACTACTTCATATAACACTCGTTCTATGAGACATGGAACGCATGTGGAAAATGTCCGATAAAACAGTAGACCTCACGGAGGAGTGATGGTGTTAGTGAACTGCAGCCACAGTCATGCTGCTCAGCCTGTTGCAACTGTTAGACCCTCGGAGTGAGGATGCTAACAGTCGAGAGGCACCCAAAGACTCAGAGTCCAGACCAGCTGATGCAAAAGCAAGAGGATTATTCGGCGTCTGCGCAGATGGACCTCCTGAACTCGGGAGTTCAGAGAGCGCCCCCAGCACAAAGCCACACGGTTTATATACCCACAGTGACCAATCAAAAGCACTATAGAGTCCATGCACACAGCAGTCCAATCCGTGAGGTGATCATGTGAAGGGCATGTGTCTTCTATCTAATCAGCTACGGGATCACATGGGAGGCAAGCACACAGCAGTCCAATCCGCGAGCTGATCATTTGAAGGGCATGCGTTTTCTATCTAGTCAGCTACGGGATCACATGGGAGGCATGCACCTCGTCGCCATTTTGTTGTTTACTTCTTTAGCAGTTCCTTTTCCTGCCAGCGCCATCTTGTTCACCCTGAGGGGGACGACGTCTTGCTCCCTTTGTTCCCCTGGTGGGAGAGCGGCGTCCTGCTTCCCACACCGTTATTTGAGTATTAGGAGGCATACAAACTGGGTTAGGTCTTAGCACAGCCAGGCTCAAGTGTCACAGCTAGCTAAGCATAGGGTCCCTTATTTTTATAGCTGCACCTGATTTTAGCTTTGGGGGGAAAAAGTTTAGGGCTGTAATTTTTAAACTTTAATTTTATTTGGGGCAAAGGTGACTTCTTGTTTTTAATGGTATTGGCTTAAGTCACTCCATCTTGGTTTGATTTTTAAGGTTCTTCACAATGATTTCCTTGGTATTGTCAGACCCTCGATTGAGCAGGGATTCATTCAGGAAGGTTAAACACACTCTGGAAAATTTGGAGAGGGTTTACACTTGAGTCTTAAGTCTTACTAGTACATCAGAAACTTAGGACCCAAGCAGATATACTCAAAGAATTAACTTTTAAAAGCAGAGTCAGCTAAGAAGGAAGTGTGATGGCATTCAGCGTACAGAGCATCTCAGGAGCCGACTTGATTTCCATGAAGATGAGACAGTACACTGAGCTTAAGCCACAGCACAGGAAGAGACGTGCTGAGGGAACCAGGGAGACTCGCCCACATGCTACGCCTCTGTTTCTAGTAGGAATTAAATTCCTTTCCCTTACTCAGATTAAAACCCGTCATCTTAACCTTTTGATTTGTAATCGCTCTTTATTCCCTGTGGCCCACAGTAGGAAGTTCAAACCCCTATCCTGACATTAAGTTCTGACAGTTTCAACCCTCCTCCTACCCTTCTTCACACCGTCTCCGTCATTGTCATTGTCATTGTGTTGTCAGGTATTTCTGTTACTCTGA